GGCAAATATCCTTACCTTCCTAGAGCTTATATTCTAGAGACAATAAACAAAGTACATAAATATATTAGCTGTTGCTAAGGACTGTGGAGAAAATAAAGCATGGGGAGAAAGAAAGAGACCCCTGAAATACAAACTATTATAATATTTCAGATGAAGATTTTGGAGTGGAATAAAGATGTAACATATATGAACAACATTAAGAACAAGCCTATTTAGGTGAATAAATAAATACTGTTTATGGAGTGCTTTCCCTATGCCAGATCCTTGCTAGGCATTTAGCAGGTATAACTGCTAATCGTGACTGTACTTGTGCACAGTATCTGTAATTAGCTCCATTTTACAGATGAGGAGACTGAGGCTTAGAGAAGTAAAGTGGTATTCCCACTGTCATAAATATAGTGGGTAGTGCAGTTTGGAATTCAAATCCTGGCATATTTGAGCCCAAAGCCATGGTTTCTTTTTGTTAAATTAGCCTCCCAGCAAAGGGGAAAAACTCATTCTGAGACAAAGGGATTTTAATATAGACATAGATTTTTACAGAGTCTCCCTTTGAAAACATTTTAAAATGCTCCTTTTAGCTAAATTAAGGGGTGGAGCAGCTTCTCCAGAGTAGGAGGTCTTTTGGGGAGAGAGGTTTATAATTACCCACCCTCTTTCAGCAAGTGTGAGCCATGTTGGGCGCTGTCAAAGGCCCCAGATCTTAGTGAAGGCAAAATAATTCAGCTTGATGGGGGAAGTGCCACTGGAAGTCAGTTGGACAGGAATCAGCTGCTGAGGACGGCAGGGAAGCTGGCAGCTGGAGAAAGAAAGGGGGTCTGGGAGGAGAGGTGAAGGATGCTGATTTGGGATCAGCATGGCTCCTGGGCTAAACAGGAACAGTTGGGTGAGCTGGGCCTGTATCTCCATACAAAGCCCCCAGGAGCCGCAAGAAGATAGGAGAGACCTGGCTTCCAACAGGAGCAGCATGCCCACAGTGGCTGGTGGGATTGGAATCAGCTGGCCCACCTTCAGTCTCATGTCCCCTGTTCCCACAGCTCACATTGTGGCCTTTGGCAAGTCATCAGTTTCTGCTTAGAAAATGTGGCAGTTGGACTAGATTGTCATGAAATGCCAGGAGAGAGAGTGAGAGCGAGAGAGAATGCAAGAGACAGCATGAGTTTATGTGGTTCCCTGCTTTGTATTCCCAGGAAGATAGAGCTCTCTGATCTCAGATTGGGTGGGGGCTATCTCCATGGAAAGGAGCTGTGGTCCTAGGCAGATCAGATGACATCTGAACATCCCTTTAGCCCTTTGGTCCTTGTGTTCCATGGGTCCTTCAATCTCATGTCAGCCGAGCACAGCACATACAGGGTAACTTGGCTGAGCTCTGAGGCCACCATCTTTCCTTTATCTTGGGATCCTCCTTGCAGATTCACAATAGGCAGTCCTCTATCCCTACAGCAAATCACATGCAATAATGTTTCTTTTAGCGTTCATTTTAGGGAGAGCTTTATGTCTCCTAAAGAACTAGTCTGCTTCCTGCTCTCCCCTAACTATAAGAACAAGAAGACTGGGCATAATTTCTCTTTTTGCTTTGATGGCCAGGAAGCTCAGAGTGGAATCTGAGCCTCGTTATTGCTGCCACGTTTGCATGTGTGGTCAGCCTGTGGTATTCCCTTCTTCCCCAGGCCTCGGTTTCAATGTATATTTTACTGTGTCATTTGTGAGCTGCCTTAAAATTGGTGAGACTTCTGTTTTCCCCTTGGCTTTCCTTCCATGACTTCTTTACTCAAAAAGCCGCCTTCTGTTCTTATTTTATCAGACTCCTGCCTGGATTCGAACAGCGGTGTGGGGTGGGGCTGCAGTGCAGAAGCTTTGTCACTAGAGTCAGGAGGTGAGCTCCCAGCCCAGGCTTTGTGCTGCACTTGCTGAGCAACTTTAGACATATGGCGTGCTCCCTCTGGCTTTCAGTTTCTGTCTGTAAAACGGTGGGCTGTGACAAAGTCTACCCAACATTCTTTCCATTCTAGAGCTCTGTGAGTGTGTTATAGCTCCTGTAGGTACTTGGGGTAAATGCAGGGGAGGGGTGGACGCTAACTCAAGGATCCTAAGAACCGCAGCAGAGATCTGAAGAAAAGAGAGTCCATAGGGTCATGCTTTAAAGCTGGAACCTCGGGAGGAGGCGGTGGCAGGAGAGGAGCCAGGCTGCGGCTTGACAGCTGTATCAGCCAGGAAGCCCAGGGAAGCACATGCTGTGGCCAAGGTCGTTGAAGGACCTCCACCTGCCAGGAGCCACTTGCCAAGCAGCTCCCAAGCTGGGGCTAGCACCAGGGCACCTCTGTCCCCCACACCTCCCCATGGTTGTCTGCAGAGGGGCAGCCCTGGCACAGCTGTGCAGGGATGGAAACCAGTGTCGCCCCTGCTGCCCCTCCCCATGTAGGAGGCTTGCCAGGCATTGGCCTGGAGAGCCACCCCAGGGCAGTCGGCTCGGCAGAGGGTGCCGGTAATCTCAGAGTCACCACCTGGGCTTGCTCTGACTTGCACTAAAGCAAAGAATAATACTTCTGAAAAAGGAGAAAATATCCCCTATAAGAGGCAGTGGTAGCAGTAGTAATGGCAAGAAATGTTCTGTCCTCTGTTTGTCTGGAATTCCCCCATTGCTCCATTCATTGCCTTGGTTGGATAAGGCAGGGTCAGGAGGGTGGGTCCCACTGAATGCATGAGGCAGCTGAGACTCAGGTCAAGGGTGCAAGGTCACCGACAGGGACCATGTGCTGTGGCTTGAGGAGCTGAGGGTCTCTCAGTGCTGGGCTCGCACAGCATCTGGGCTAGTGAGCAGGATGCAGCAGCTGTTGGAAGAGTTGAACACAGTGGTCCTCATGGTGAGGGCTTCTCCTTTGCCCACATGGCTGATTCTTTGAGGGACATGGAGAGACTTACACTGTTTAGGGAGAAGACACATGAAGAATTTCTTTTTGAACAATCTTCCTTGCTCTGCTAACCTCCTGTTTCTGTGAGGTCCACTTGCTTTTTTTCAGGAATATTTTATTTTATTTATTGTCTTTTTATTGAAGTATAGTTGATTTATGATATTGGGTTAGTTTCAGGTGTACAGCTTAGTGATTCAGTATTTTTTTCAGATTATATTCCTTTAGGTTATTACAAGATAATGGGTATAATTCCCTGTGCTTTATAGTATATCCTTGTTGCTTATCAATTTTATATATAGTAGTTCGTAGCTGTTAATCCCATACCTCTAATTTGTCCCTCCCCCTTCCCTCTCCCCTTTGGTATCCACATGTTTGTTTTCTATATCTGTGAGTCTATTTCTGTTTTGTATATAGATTCATTTATATTAGTTTTTAGATTACACATATCAGTGAGATCATATATTTGTCCTTCTCTGTCTGACTTATTTCACTAAGCATAATATTCTCTAGGTCCATCCACATTGTTGCAAATGGCAATATTTCATTCTTTTTTATGGCTGAATAATATTCATTGTGTGTGTGTGTGTGTGTGTGTATATATATATGTATATATACCATTCCTTCTTAATCCAATCGTCTGTTTATGGGACTTGGGTTGTTTCCATGTCTTGGCTATTGTAAATAGTGCTTCTGTTGAATGTTGGGGTGCATGTACTTTTTCAAGTTAGTGTTTTTTCTGGATATATACCTAGGAGTGAAATTGCTAGATCATATGGTAGTTCTACTTTCGGTATATTAAGGAACCTCCACACTGTTTTCCTCAGAGGCTGCACCATTTTACATTCCCGTCAACAGTATACAAGGGTTCCCTTTTCTCCACATGCGATGTTCTGCTTTTATGGAAGCATGAGGAGCCCAGGATGCGGGGATGTAACCCCTGCATCTCCATCCTGGTATTTTAGAATCTCCTGGGAAAGTAGATTTTTGCTTTTTCATGCAGCATAGCGGTATGTGTCCCAGTTCTCTTGTACTATGAGGCAGTCATGATGCAGTAGAAATGCAGGCACTCATGACCTAGACGTCCAGGTGTGACCTTGAGTGATCTCGAAAGCTCTGCAGCTTCAGGTTTCCCATGTGTCCTACGCATCAGTCTCCACCTGGCCTCCCTCCACAGGGAATTTGTGAGGATCAGATGAGGTTGGGGCTATGCCAGACCTTCAAAGGGTCAGTCTTAGTCGCCTGTCTCCTCCAGGCTGACCCAGAGTCAGGAGGACCAGGGCAGTACCTGCCCTGGGCCCAGCTGCCTGAAGTCAGGTAGAGGCAGGAGGGCTGCTTCTAGTTCCTGTCCTGTCACTACTTGCTGAGCCATCCTGGGCCATTCCCTTCCCCTTCCTGGACCATGCCTGTCCTTTTACAATGGTTCATTTTAAATATATATTATATAGATTATTTTTGTTTTTTATTGATATATAGCCACATACTATAAAATCCACCCTTTTAAAATGTACAATACAAAGGGTTTTAGTATATTCACAGAGTTGTGTATCTGTCACCACTATCTAACTCTAAAACACTTTCATCAATCCCATTAACAGTCATCCCCTATTCCTCCTTGGCCCAGCCCTTGGCAACCGCTAATCTGCTTTCTGTCTATGGATTTGTCTGTTCTGGCCACTTCGTATAAATGGAATCACGACATGTGGCCTTTTGTGTCTGGCTTCTTTCATTTAGCATAATATTGTCAAGGTTCATCCATGTTGTAGCGTGTATTGGTACTTTATTCCTTTTTACATCTAAATGATATTCCATCGTATGTATAGGCCACATTTTGTTTGTCCATTCATCCGTTGATGGACATTTGGGTCATTTCCTCCTTTGGGCTGTTGTGAATAGTGCTGCTATGGACATCCCTGTACAAGTTTTTGTTTGAACACCTATTTTCTATTCTTTGGGGGTGTATACCCACTAGTGGAATTGCTAGATCATTTGGTAATTCAATGTTTTACTTTTTGAGGAACTGCCAGACTGTTTTCCACAGTGGCTGTACCATTTCACATTCCCATCAGCAATACACAAGGGTTTCAATTTCTCTGCATCCTCGCCTGTACTTGTTGTTGTCTGTCTTTTTGATTATAGCCGTCCTAGTGGATGTGAAATAGTATCTCGTTGTGGAAAATATATATTACATAGATTTTTAACCTGCAAAACCCTTTTAAAACTGTAGTCTTACTTCAGACCTTCCATATGTAGAACAGGTACAAGAGGAGTCTCTCGAGGCGAAATGGGGAAGGAGGCCTGAGCCCACCCCCTCATAGTCCCAGAGGCAAGTTCTCCAGGTGGTTTGAAGACCACTGGCTCTTGGTGCCCTCCCGGCTCTGGACTCTGAGTCGAACCACCAGAGACTACCTGCATAGCAGACGCCTCAGCCCTCACGCCCATCCTGGTTGCCTTGGGAGCCCTCGCAACATTTGGCCAAGCTGTGGGTCTGCCCTGCGCTGTACTGGGGTTGCCACAGTGAGAAGGAGTCCAGTGGCCCCATCTATGGTTCCAGCTCTGAGAACAGCTTGTGTAGGAAACAGGAAGCAAACAGGAGAAATGCTACCACTGCCCCCCTTCCCAAGTCTAGGAAGAAAGGTCCTGGTTGTGCTGATAGTGCAGAGAAGCATAGTGGCTGATGAGGTCGTGAAGCCAATGGAAGGTTTACCAAACTCCTCAGCCATGAGTAGCCCTCATAGCACTAATCCTCTGAGGTCCAGAGAGGTCGGCTGGAACACTCCCAGGCCCATCTTCCATCTCCCGCTTCCCTCTGCATTAGCATTCTAGGAGCACCAGGCGTTCTGCCGTTTGAGGGTGGAATGTTCTGCATTCTAGCGTTGCCTTGGCAGAGACAAGATTCCTCCCAAGTTCTGTTCTATTGGTTGCATTGCTCTGCTTTCCACAATTGTGAGAGGCTTGAGTCATCAGACACAGATTGTTCTGTTCCTTTGGATTTTAGGATAGCTTTCTTCTCTTATTGATGGCTAATTCTTTGGGGAAAAAAAGATAATTTATAGTGCATACAGGGGCTTTCACTTAGCTAGAATATTAGATTAACCTAGTGCCTGGTTTTTCCCCCATGACTTGCTGATTGAGCAAAATGCCATAGTGTCTCTTTGAAGAACGCAGCTTCCTAGTTTTACAGATGTAGAAACTGAAATCCAGGAGTCTTAGTAACTGAAAGGGAAGAAAGCATCAATTAGAACTCTATTTCATTTACAGCCCTAGAATCAGAGAATGGTGGATCCAGAGGTGTCTTTGAGACCATCTAATCCAACCCCTTGGTCTATCAAATGTGCCTGTTTAACTCATTGCGTTTCTAACGGTTGTGTGTTGATTGTGTTTATTTTTATGAAATTCCCCAGAGCGGGGTGTTCCCTGAGTTTCAACCTAAGGCATGACACGCTAAGTGGTCAAGAGAGTAAGTGACGGGTGAAGTCCCAAGAGGAAAGTCCTGTAGGGCAGAGCCTTACGGAAAGTGTGACGTGTGCATGAGGGCAGGGCAGGGCAGGGCAGGGCAGGGCAGGTGCTGTTGGCTGGGCAAACAGCCTTTGCAAAGATGTGGGAGCAACGAACAGGGCTTTCCCCTGGGGTCAGCAAGCAGCTGAGAGCAGGTTGGAAAGGGTATAGACAAGAGGGCCTTAAATGCCAGGATCAAGAGTTTTGCCCTAATTTTTACTTAATCGGGGGCCTCTGATGAATTTTGAGAAGGCTCCAGGCCCCTTTCTCCATTGCTCCTGCTGCCACCCTGACCCAGGCCCTTCTAATTTCTTGATAACCTCCTAACTGGTCTCCCTGCCTCTATTCTTGTCCCTTTCCAGCTATAGTCCACAAAGGCCCCCTACGCAGGGGCTTTCTAAAACGCAAGTCTGATTGTGTCCGTCCCCTTTTTAAGGCCCTTCCATGGCTCCCTGTTGCTCACAGGACAAGATCCTGGCTTTTGTGGCTCGGTGTGGCCTGGCCCCACCTTCCTCTACAGCCTCAGGCCCACTGTGCCTCTGCTTCCACCAGGCCCCCTAGTTTCCTGAGCAGCCATGCTATTGCATTACTCACGGCTTTTGCCCACGCTTCTCCATCCCTCCCGTTCACTTTCTCTGCCTGGTGACCTCTTATTCACCCTTTAAGACTTAGTGTAAATTTCCTTTTGGAGACGCTTTCCCTGACCCTCCTGAAGCCACTATTATGCCTTGAGTCTTTCTGTTTTGAAGCTCACATTGCACTGCAATTATCTAGTGCCAGAATCCTGGGAGTTCCCACTTTCGAGTGTTTATTGTGTGGTGGGCACTGGACTGAGCCCTGTGCATGCATGATCCTGTGTTATTCTCACAGTAACCACATGAGGTGCATTCTGTTACAGCCCCACTTACAGATGAGGAAGCTAAGGCTCAGAGAAGTGGTGTGACTCGCCCACTGCCTGCAGCTGGAGGGTGACAGAGCTGGGATTTGAGCCCAGATATCTTTGACTATTTCTGACTCCTTCCATCTCCTGTTCCCTGGACCCTGCTATATCTCCTGAACCCCCACTGTTCGGTGTGTGAGGCACTAATCAAAGGGGTAGATGCAGCAGGGTTGCCATGGTGTGGGCAGGATGGGGAAATGGGGCTGGGCTTAACCTGGGGTGGAGGTGATAAGCAACTGTCAGCCCAGCTCCCCACGGCTAGGGGTTTCCTTTCCACCTTCCATTCCAAGCGGCTACCTGGGGACAGGCCTGCGGGACTCCAGGCCGAACAGGTGGCATGGAGACAAACGCCATGGCAATCTGCCTCCTCTCTGGGGCCCAGAGGGGAGGGAGGACCTGAGAGAGCCCAGGGTGCTCACTGACACTTCTGGGTTAGATCCTGGGGAGACAACTCCCTTTGGGCCTGGGTGTCTTCTGCCCTCCCAGAGGGACCCCAGCCTGCAAGGTCCCGTCCCAGCAGGGGAAATGCCACTTCCACCTCTGTCCCAGATGAATGGCTGGCTTTGGCCTCCCAGGAGACTGTCTGCTCCAACCAGGTACAAATGCCATCCCCTTCCCACCCCCACCCCCCTGGCCAGAGAGGAAGGAAGAGGGAGCGAGAGAGGAGGGAGGCGTGGGGTTGCCAAGCAAGGTAGGAGCAGGGACAGCGACAACAAAGCCCTCATTGTACCAAGGCCACACGCAGCTCCAAGGCAAAGCAGGCATCGTTCCCGCCTCCCAGGACCTGGGCCCAGAGCTCCACCCGGACTTTCTGAGCTCCTTAGCAATGCTCACCAGAGCTGGCTTGGAAGAGCAAGGCCCTGCCTCAGCTCTGAGTCCTGCCTCTGCTGAGAAGTCCTCCTGAAATCACAGCTTCCTTCCAAAAGCCAGAAGTGGTGATGGGAGGATGGCCAGTGAAGCCAGCCTGGCTGGGGCTAGAAGCCAGGGTCTGTTGGACATGCAGCTGTGTGACCTTGGACCCAAATGTGATAAAAAATCCTGCCTTGAAGGATTTTTATTTGAAGTAATGGACCAAGGCACATAAAAGCACTCAGCACGGTCACCTGGCCGCAGAAGTGTTCAATCAGTGACAGATGATCCTTGAAGCCCTCGTCCACCCACGAGCAAGGACTATCAGCCCCTCCCAAGCTGCTCCTAGTTGAGGCCCTCCTGTGCCCAGGAGGTGGTGAGCCATTGGTGGCCTTCCTGGCAAGTGTGGAGTAGCACTGTTGTCCCCTCAGCCCGTCTCACTGTTCCTCCTCCGGAAGCCGGCCCTGCAGTTCCAGGAGGCCCCGACTGGGCAGTTGGGGCATGGTGGGTGGGATGCATCCCCAAGCTGGGGCGAGCAGCTCAGGTGACAGGTGGGGTGTCGGCGGCTCCTGTGCCTGGCACCTGACACCTCTAGGCAGACAATGCTGGCAATGTCCGAGCCCTCCAGGGAACACGCCACGTCTGTGTCACAGCCAGGAAACAGGCCACCTGAGTAGCGCCGTTGTCCACTCAGGACGCAGCCCCGCCGCTGGCCGGGATGACCGGGATCCCCAGAGGCCCTGACGTGGGAAGGGGTGGTGCCCTGGGCAGGGGCTCTGGGGTTTGAGACCCAGCCCCTCAGCATCTGGTGTTGGCCTGGTTCAGTGTTGGCCCTGCCACACTGGGGCTGGGACTTGGGCAGTCCGTTCCCTCTCGGGTTCCTCATCTGTAAAGGGACTAATCACAGCACTTCCTCATAGGGTTGTTGGGAGGAGTCGATGGCATAATGTACGTAATGTGGTTGGCACGGGGTCTGGTGTGGAGCAGGGCTTGGTCACTGCTTCTCTCCCCGCATGGGGGAAGGTCCAGCACACTGTGTCCTTGGCTGAATCTCCTGTAACCCAGGCTACTGTCCTTAGTTCTTGCTCTGAGCGTGGCAGGAGGGGACTAGGGTCTCTGGAGCTGGCACAGCACTAGCACATTGGCTGCAAAGAGCCCAGGCCTCTCCACCTCGGACTCCAGGAGCTCTGGGCTAATGCCCTGTGCAGGCCTCCTTCCACAGCAGCCAACACCAGCCCAGGATGGGGCCTCTCCCCTCCTTAAACTTCTGTAGGGCTGGCTGCCCTTGGAGCCCAAACCTCTACCCAGGAAAGGGGCCTTGGGATTCCTGGGCAGGAGGCCAGGTCTGAGTCTCTCTACTGATTTGTCAAGAGGGCCAAGGATGGATCTCTGCAGGCATGGTCACTTCCTACTGGGTCCAGCCTACAGAGACACCCCCTGGGAGCAGGGAGGAGTCCTCATCTCCCATCTGTCTCCTTCCTCATTTGCGTTGAGCCTGTGCCCTGAGTTCCTGGTGCACCCCACAATGAGCATGAGCATTTGCACGGATGGGTGCGGGCATGCCTGTGTGCAGCATGTGGGCGGGGGGGGGGGGGGGGGCAGGCGAGGGCTGCATGTCCTGCGTTGTGGGCAGGCCCCCTGAGCATGTTCACTGAGCCACGTGTGGCATGCCTTGGAATGGAGGGGGCGTGGTACCTTTTCATATTCGCGTGTATCCATATGTCTTTCTACACGTGTGTGGTGTGTTGGTCTGTCTTGTCTCCCCTGTAGACGGGAAGCCCCGAGCCACGCACCAGCAGGCACTGTGAGAAGGTGACATCGAGACTAGCGCAGCCTAATCTGGGGTTCCTGGTCCTGCTCCAGGAGGCCTCCAGTCTGCAGCCCCCGCCGAGGGAGGATTGACCAGCGTGGGGGTGGGGGTCCGAGAGTCAGGGGTCTGGGGGCCTGGCTTGTAGCGTAGAGGACTCAGTGCTGGGCCGAGCCAATTAGGAGGCCCTGCCCCAGTGTCAGTGACCTTGGGCGAGGCCTTTGTTCTCTCTGGGGCACATTCACTCATGTGGAGGACACGGGGCTGGACTGATGATTTCTGCCCGCCCTGAGGCTCTGATGATCGTGATTCTAAGTTGGGTGGTGGGGTGAGAGCCTGCTAAATTTGTTGGTGGAGGCAGCTGTGGCCTGAGCCTGGCCTGCCAGCCCCCAGCTCGTCCTGGGTGTCCTGCTGAAGGGTGAGAGGAGAAGCCATGCCGGGCAGCGGCCCCAGCGAGAGGATGACGTGGCCGGGCCCGGCCACCCCCGCGGCCCCCCCAACCCACCCTCTCTCCTCAGCCCCGGGGACACCGCCCATCCCGCCCCTCACCCGGACCCACAGCCTCATGGCCATGTCCCTGCCAGGCAGTAGACGGGCCTCTGCTGGATCCCGCAGGTGAGTTTCCCCAATGCCCGGAGCCTTGGCCTCTGAAGGTGGGGGCAGGGAGGGTCTCTGTCTCCAGTCCAACACCGGCTTGTTTTTGAGCAAGTTGTTGCCCCAGTTTTCCCATCTTTAAAATGGGCTTGCTCACACTGGCCTCAGGAACTATTTATGGGCTCAGATGACACAGTGGGTATAAAAGTTCTCTGAAGACTTAAACCATTGGATCCCTGCCGTCACCAGTACTGTTGTTCGATCTTCACAGTTACTGCAGGGACGGCATGCAGCCTTCCACCCAGGCTCCCCTGGCCTCCCCGTGTGCCCCTCCTCCTGTCCCTCCTCCTGCCTGCCCCATTCCTCTCCACCTCTGTTTCAGTCCGTGCAGGGACCTTTCCCTCTGGGCTTGGGGGACCCTGGAAGTTGAGGACCCTTGGTAGGGGTAGCTGGGACCCCACCCTTGGCCCGCAGCCCTGCTCAGCCTTCTGGGGAGTCCCGAGGACCGGCCTCCTTCTGGTTTTCCACCTTGATTTGCACTGTCTGTTCTGTCACCCCTGTCTGTGCATCCCCCCGCCACGCTTCTCTCCCCGGCGGTGACCCTGAAGTGGGGGCCCTTTGGGCCGCAGCGGCCTGGCGGTGTTCGTCCAGTGTCCGCAGCTGCCCACCAGCCAGAACGAGCACCTGCCTCTTCTTCCTGCCTCCAGGCGCACCTCTCCCCCCGTGAGCGTGCGGGATGCCCACGGCACCTCTTCCCTCAGCAGCAGCAGTAACTCGGGCTCCTGCAAGGGAAGTGACAGCAGCCCCACGCCCAGGTAACCAGCCACTCCCTCGCACCCGGCCTGGCCAAGCTGGCTGGAACCCTGAGTGCCCTGGGGGTCGGGGGAGGTGGACGTTCTAACCATCCCCAACTCTAGCACACTTCCCCGCTGTGTGACCTTGAGCAGGTCACTTCTCTCTGAGCCTCAGTTCCCATCTGTAAGATGGGTATGATCATACCCAGCTGCACGTAACCAAAGTCAGTAGCTGAGACAAACTGGGGGTGATGCTTTCAAAACAAGGGGCCAGAGGCGGGCAGCTCCCCGAAGTGTCAGGGACCCCATCTCCACCATCCTTGGTGTACAGCTGGCTCCTACACCTCCAGGCATCAGGGCAGCATCCAGGAAGGAAGAAGGTAGAAAGGCCAAAGCCCCTGAACCCCCAGAGACTCGTGTTTTTGAGACAGGACACATTGCCCAGGAAATTCTGTCTATACTGTGCTGGCTGGTGCCAGGTACGACTGGCTACAGGGAGAGTTAGTGGTTCCCAGTGTAGGGCCACCCAAGCAAACTGGGAGTTCTGTTGGAGAAAAGGCAAGAATGGATGTTGGGAGGCAGCTCATGGCGTCCGCCAGCCTGCTCTTCTGGGTGGTACACTGTGAGGGTGGCAGAGTGGAGTTGTTCTAGAAAGTGAAGTGTGTTCCAAGTGCAGCGTGTGCTTTGGGCTCTCAGCAAAGAGGAAAGGCAGGATCGGGCTGGGGAGACGGGTAAGGAGAGCAGTGGGTCCTCAGAGACCAGGACGTGCAGGCTGTGATGGCGGCGCCCATCCTGCTTCCCAGGAGCGTGATGGGGGAGCACGGGCTTAGGATGTGAATCGGTCTGAGTCTCCACTCCCTCATCTGTAAAGTGGAGCTTACGACCCGGAGGCTTCAGGGAGCTGATATCTGCACCCACCACACTCTGCTGCTGGCCCGTAACGCGTAACCGCTCTCATTAGGACTTTGGTTCAACTTGAGAATCGTAGGCAAGAGAAGGCCAGGAGACTCTGGCCTGCAGCTCCCATGGCCAGAGCTCCTCCTGGGAAGGCTTGTCTTGAGTGAGTGTCATTTGTGTGACCAGATCACACTGAGGCGGCAGTTCTGAGTTTTCCACCATGACACGCATGATGGGTGACACACATATGCTGGACCCATGCCCCAGCATCCTGTCTGTAGCTGCCCCCAGAACGGGGGTGGGGGGTGGTGGTAGTGTGTGAGTGAGATTGATGATGCATTAATTTACCTTTTGAAAAGTGTATAATTGGCAACTTTAATACTTTTTTATTGGTAGCAGATTTTTGCCACACATGTCATAACTGAAACCCATGGGGGCAGTCCCAGCCCTGAGGCTGAGAGCTGCTTCCATGCAAGGGTCTCCTTGCCACCACCAGAGTTGCTGGTGAGCAGTGCCTCGGCTCTAGCCTCACTATAAGTAGCCAGGTGTTCCAAGGTGTGACTAGCTGAGGGACATGAATTGTAGTATACTTCTCTTCTCAGGTACGTATAGTATATATGTAAATATATACTATATTAAAAAATATAGTATTTTGTGAAAAAAATATTTTTTCACAAAGAGCTAGTGACTAAAAATATATCAGTGTTAAATGTTATATTGAGAAGGAAAACTAGTGAAAGCATATGGAAAAAAGTTAAAATAGTTACTTCCTTTATAATCCTCAGCTCTTACTAGTTTAAGTAATCCTGGTTCCTCTACCCCGGCACAGGGAAAAGGCCTCTTTTTCTCACCACAGCTCTGGGCCCCTCTCGCCATAGCCTTTGCAGGGCACCAGGATGTCTACTGGCCTAACACATGGGGCTCAGGGCCCCTGCTGGCTTCCTCTCTTTTGGAAGGAGATTTCTTAGAGCCCATCAGAGGGGACCCCGAGGTCCCACCCGACACCGCGCCTCTTCCCCTTGCCACACAGAAAACAAGCCAGTGTGTGACCTGACTTGAGTTAAACTTAGAGGCCAGGAGCTGAGTGAGTAGAAGAGAATAGTTTCTCTTTCCCTCCACTTCTGTCCACACTTTCTCTTCAACAGTTTACAATTTACAAATACTTTTTCCTCGGTAAATGTTAGACAGCTTCCCCAAAACTTTTAAAACTGCCTCCAACTTGGCTCCTTCAGCAAATGGGCCCCACCAGGGCCTGTCTTTTCTACATCCATAAAATGTGATTGCCTCTTGCTAGACCTGGGACTCCCCGTCCCCTAAAGGAACAGAGCTGGATGGCGGCAAGGCCTTTGCCAAATTGTGTGAGAAGACGCCCAGGTGTTTAAGCCAAAATCCAAGGAGGTTTCTTCCCAAACAGAACAGCCGACAGGAAGCTGTGAGTTGAGGTGGCCTGGCCGTGGTCTGCTGGTGGCATGGGGTGCTCCCCTTCCCTGGGTGAAAGCCTCGGCCCTCCCTCATCCACTGGGTGGTAATTCCTCCTCCTCGGCCCTGATGGGACCGGGGCGTGCTCACCACACACACACACACACACACACACACACACACACACACATGCGCGCGTCTGCGCCACCCTGTGCTAGGGTGTTTGTGGCTGCAGGGTACAGCTGTGAACAGGGCAATGCCCAGAGACAGCCAGTGTTCCCGTGTGTGCTCACGTGTGCCCCCAGAGCGTGCACATGCAGATGGAAAGGGTCTGCCTGCGTTTGTGTGAATGTGTTCATGGGCTGGTGTCCTAGAGCAGTTGACCCTGGACCAACAAGGGGGTTGGGGTACTGATCCCTCGTGCAGTTGAAAATCCGCGTGTAACTTTTTACTCCCGCAAAACGTAACTGCTAATATCCTACTGTTGGCCAGAAGCCTTCCTGATTACGTAATGAGTTGATTGACATGTATTTGGTGTGTTATATGTATTATAAACTATACAGTAAGCCCCCTACATACAAACGAGTTCTGTTCCAAGAGCGCATTCATTAAGTCCAACTTGTTCATAAGTCCCACAAAATTAGCCTAGGTAGCCAACTAACACAATTGGCTATATAGTACTGTACTGTAATAGGTTTATAACACTTTTCACACAAATAATACATGAAAAACAAACAAACACAAAAAATAAAGAAAACATTTTTAATCTTACAGTACAGTACCTGGAAAAGTACACCAGCCATGTGAACTAACTTATGTGATTGGACATGGGAACACACGTTCATCTTTGAAAGTTTGCAACTTGAAGGTTCATATATAGGGGACTTACTGTATTCTTACAATAAAGTAAACTAGAGAAAAGAAAACGTTAAGAAAATTATAAGGAAGAGAAAATACATTTACAGCAATATACTGTATTTATTGATACTGTAAGTTTACATTGTTTTTAAAATGAATCATCTGTCAGTACATCAATATTGTCTTACATGATACAAAACACTGTAGCTGTTACATGTATTACTAAGACTAGACATCAAAAATGAAAAGATCATGTGAAAAAGAAATTCGTATTTATTTACAGGTATAGTGTGCATGCGTTGATAACAGAGAAGCTAGCAATGGTTGCCTAGCTTATCTAATGAATGAATCATTATAAAGTTTTTACGGCATACAGTATTACAGTCATATTCAAAATATGGTATTAGAAACATTGTTACATTTTTCTAAAAACCTCTTACCTGTGATGATAGGCTGATAGGCATTTTCTCCAATTGGGAGAGAAAGGCATACTGTAGGGTAATGTGATTCTTTGAAAGCAAAGTTGTAGAACACTAAGAAAACGAACGCATTATTAATATTATATCAACTATCACCCACCTTATGCCAGTGTAAGGACAGGCTGCCACCTTAGTACCAGTCTTGCACACAGTGTTCTACATGCTGGATGCTGAGGCGGTAGTGATGATGACAACACAGAGACGGCTCAAACGGTGGCTGCCATAGTTACTAGATTTTCACACGAAATCACTCATACACATACACAGCAGATAGATCCTGGCCCACCACGCAGGCCCCAGGATAATATACACATACACAGCAGATAGATAAATCCTGGCCCACCATGCAGGCCCCAGGATAATATACACATACACAGCAGATAAATCCTGGCCCACCATGCAGGCCCCAGGATAATTACACGGAGGGGGAGACCTCTCCCACCCTCAGCCTTGGTCTCTGGGTTGGGAGAGTGGACACCTGAGCTCTGGGCTGCGGCGCCGGGACTGGGCTGGCGGAGGGGGCGCCACCCTGGGTGGCGCCAGGCTGGTGCACGTGCTCTGTGACGTGTCTCCCCAGCCCAAGCTAGAGGAGCCCTGAGCTCCCCACCCTGATGCTGTGCTCGAAAGAGCCTTAATGAAACCCACCTCCCAAAGGGGCTGCATGTTCTCGTGCCCACAGGGGCCCCGTGGGGGAGGCCTGGCCTGCAGCGCTTCAGTGGCCAGGGGATCAGAATGGGTAGGCGGGGCCCCTAGCTCCTGGAGGCACAGCGCCTCGCCAGGCCCCTTCCTCCCTCCCTGCTGACAAGCGTCCCCGGCAGGCGCGCCATGAAGTACACGCTGTGCAGTGACAACCATGGCATCAAGCCTCCCACCCCGGAGCAGTACCTGACCCCCCTGCAGCAGAAGGAGGTGTGCATCCGGCATCTGAAGGCCCGGCTGAAGGACACACAGGACCGGCTCCAGGACCGGTAAGCGGGTGGCCAGGGCCCTGCAGTATCTCTGGGAGGAAGGCGTGGCTGGGGGCTCCTCAGCTGCTCCTTGAAGCATCAGGTAGCTTCTTGGGGCCAGGCCTGGAGCAGTTTCCCCTGCGAGGGTCTATCGGGCCTCCCACCCACGGCAGTGCTCTCCCAGTTGTAACCTGGCAGCCCCATTTGGCCACTTCTCGTGCCCTGGCTCCTTTCTACCTGGGGAGGAGCGGCACAGGGCACTCTTCCTGGCTGACCTGTCTCTGTGGGGGAGAAACAACCCCTTAGCCCTCCTTTGCTTCCTCCCAGGGGGTCACCAGGGGCTCGTGACCCACCAGTTCAGGCCCCAGAAGCCTTCCTCCTCATCCACGTGTAGATGATGTAAGATCGTGAGAAACCTTCCTCGGAGCTCCCACCCAGCCCAGGGGTCTCCCAGGAGCCCCTGTGGGCCCGTCTGAGCTCATTCTCCAGACCTGATCCTCCCGGCCTCCCCATTTCCAGGCTGGCGGCTTCATCTTTATAATCGAAGCTTCAGGGCTGCCCTCTGATCTCTTCATCACCTACCCGTCTTCTCCAGACTGTGTCAATTCGGATACGCAGCCGACTGTGAGCTGGACAGGGTGCCGTGCAGGGCACTGGAGGGCAGGCGGGGAGGCCACCACTACCATGCCTTCCTTCATCTTTTCTTTCTTTCTTTCTTTGTAATGTAACTGCTTATTGAGATGTAATTCACATACCATCCAGTTCACCTATCTAAAATAAACAATTCAGTGATCTTCAGTATATTCACAGAACGGTGCAACCGTCAACAGTATCTAATTCTAGAACAGTTCCATCACTCCAGAAAGAAACCCTGTTCCCAGTAACAATCACGCTCCATCTCTCCCCAGCCACGCCGTCCCTGGCAGCCACTAATCTTTCTGCCTCTGTGGATTTGTCTATTATATTCCATGTAAACTGGAGCACACAGTGAGCGTGACCGTGTCTCTCTTGACCAGAGCTCTGCCAGGTAGCTGATCCAGTTTGTATCTGTTGTGCTTTTGAACTTGGGGAGGGTGGAGGTGGCATTCTGTGGACCTCCTTGTCTGTAGAGCTAGGATTTCTATTTATATTTCCCACTGTCTTCTCACTGATGCCCTGCGTCTGCTTGGCCATTTACACTGATGTCCTCGGGAAGCAGACAGCCCATCTCCCTGCTTCCTTTCCAGGGCTGCCCTGTGGCTCAGAGCAGACAGTCTGCCCTGTGTGGTTTGGGCAGGACGCCCTGTAGTGGACACGCCTGCACCTCAGCTCCCCGGCCTCTGCACCTGATACTCTTGTAGTACCTGTGGCCATTCTGTACTTGCTGTATCGTCAGCCTCCTCACAGGCTCTGAGCATTCAGTCTGATCCTCTCATTCCCGCTGTAGCCTACTTCCTCCTCAGAGAAGGAGCTCTGCTTCTACACGCTGTGCTTTCATATATTGTGTCCCCACTTCTAAGATACCCTTTCTTTCATCTTGCTCCCTTGGAAAACTCATCCTATAAGACCCAGTTCAAATGTAACATCCTGCAGCCCCCTGAGACCTAGACAGGGCTGGGAAGCCATAGCTCTGGGGTCCTGCTGGCTCCCAGGAGGAGTGGGGCCCAGCTGAGCTGAGCATGCCCAGTCCCTCCTTTCAAACTCACTCTTTCTGCCTGGGCTCAGAGTCAGTGAGGAGGGTTATCCTAGAGTGAGCGCCCCACCCTGAGGCAGGAGGAATGAACGTTATCCCCACACCTGTGGGGATGTCTGTTATCGTAGCTCTTGAGCAGCTCCAGGTCCCCGCTGCCATCCCACGTCCATCGCCAAGCTGTATCCTGTTGGGCAACCCTTCCCCTCCTTCCCCTTCCAGTTGATGCCATTGCTGACCTTGTGGCCACTGCAGCCCCGCAGGCCCAGTCCCTTCAGTGTTTTGTGGAGTGAGATTCCTGGGCCCATTTCCTGAATTTCTAATTTGACTTTGAAAAGTGCATGGTGCTTGATCTGGGTTGGTCACTGCTGGACTCATAAAATCCAAAGTGATGTCGTGCCTTTTGGATTTTATTTGTGTGAATGTAGGGTTTGGGCTCAGTGGCTGCGTGTGGGCCGGATCACTAAGACGTTTGCCGAAGGAGGAGCACCCAGGGTGGGAGTTCAGTCCCATGAAGGAGTCTCCTCCTTTCTCACTGCTTTTGGTTCATCCTGTTCAGTCTCACCCTGGCTCTGGACTTGATGGCATCATTTTCTACTTCACCTCCTTCCCCTGCACCCCCTGGATTCATCTATGCCTCAGGGATTTTAAAAGCCTGCGAGTTTCTGGACAAGAGTCCTCTGACCGTCTCGTTTGCCTGCTCTTGCCTCTTCTTTCGGGAATAGCTCTGTGCCTTTTCCGGCAATCTTCTGGGTCTTCCCTCTCTACAGTAGATACAGAGAGGAAACATCTAGCATGGATAAAAGACAGCCACTCTGTTCTCATCATTCCCCTCTGATTCATCCACCACTTCTCATCCCTCCACTTGAGGGAAGATGTAAAATTACCAGCTACATTCAAGGCAGTAATTTCTCTCATAAAAACAAAGTGGATCATCACTCTCTCCCCGGGGTCTCTGGCCAAATAGCCCGCCATTGAAAATTTCCACCACCGGCTTTTGTAGGAGGCCACATCCATTTCTGCACAGTAGAGATTTTAGGTTTAGTTTTTGTTGTTTTATATTAAGATTTTTAAATGGATGTATTAAGTTTTTATAGCGGTAGCATCTTTAAACTGAGAATCTTTATCGTCTGCTGTCTTCTCTGGGTAGTGGATATAAATGTGGACAGTTGTCTGCATTTTGGCTCTAGGGGGTGGGAAGGAGATGGTGGCTCATTCTCGTCCCTGAAGAGGAGGTCTCTCGTGTCCTGAGCCCGGGCCCCTCTCCCGTCCCCACTGCTTCCCCGATGGAATAAAGAGAGTGAGGAAGGAACTCTGAGTCGTTCCTTTGTTTTCAGCTCTGAGGGGCAGCAGCACAGGCCCTGTGTCCTTGGGGACAGCCCCCTCCTTGTCTGTCCTTGGTGATGGTGACAGGCCAGGCGGTGAGCATGTGTATCTCATCTGCTCACAGGGACACGGAGATCGATGACCTGAAGATGCAGCTGTCGCGCATGCAGGAGGACTGGATCGAGGAGGAGTGCCACCGCGTGGAGGCCCAGCTGGCCCTGAAGGAGGCCCGCAAGGAGATCAAGCAGCTCAAGCAGGTCATCGACACCGTCAAGAACAACCTGATTGACAAGGACAAGGGGCTGCAGAAGTACTTCGTGGACATCAACATCCAGAACAAGAAGCTGGAGACGCTGCTGCACAGCATGGAGGTGGCCCAGAACGGCTTCGCCAAGGAGGACGGCGCCGCCGAGTCGGCCGGCGGGTCCCCCGCCCGCTCCCTTACCCGTAGCTCCACCTACACAAAGCTGAGCGACCCCGCTGTCTGCGGCGACCGCCTGCCGGGTGACCACCCAGGCGCCTCTGTGGAGGACGGGGCTGACAGTGGCTTCGCGGCGACCGACGACACTCTGAGCCGGACGGATGCACTGGAGGCCAGCAGCCTGCTATCTTCGGGGGTGGACTGCGGCCCCGAGGAGGGCTCCTCGCTGCACGGCTCCTTCAGCCTGGGCCCCCGCTTCCCCGCCAGCAACACCTACGAGAAGCTGCTGTGTGGCACGGAGGCCGGCGTGCAGGCCAGCTGCATGCAGGAGCGCGCCATCCAGACGGACTTCGTGCAGTACCAGCCGGACCTGGACACCATCCTGGAGAAAGTGACCAAGGCCCAGGTCTCCGGGACAGTCCCCAAGTCAGGGGACAGGTGCCCGGAGTTGGATCCCCACCCCCTGGGGCCCAGAGACCCCAACTCTGCAGTGGTGGTGACGGTGGGTGACGAGCTCGAGGCCCCGGAGCCCATCACGCGGGGGCCCACCCCACACCACCCTGGTGCCAACCCCAGCCCCAGCCCGTCGGTGGGCGTGGCGTGCCCCGTGGAAGAGGAGGAGGAGGCGGCCGCAGCCGAGAAGGAGCCCGGGAGCTACTGGAGCCGCCACTATATCGTGGATCTGCTGGCGGTGGTGGTGCCAGCCGTGCCCACGGTGGCCTGGCTCTGCCGCTCCCAGCGGCGCCAGGGCCAGCCCATTTACAACATCAGCTCCCTGCTGCGGGGCTGCTGCACCGTGGCCTTGCACTCCATCCGCAGGATCAGCTGTCGCTCGCTGAGCCAGCAGGGCCCAAGCGCCAGCACTGCTGCAGGCGGCAGCTCGCAGCTCTGAGGCCCCATCCCGGCCCGGGCTCCGGAGGCCTGACTACCGATTGTAGGGGTGCCGTCCTCCCTCTCGCACCTTCCCGTGGGGCATCATCTTATTTATTTAGTTTTGGGTTTGGAGGTGGTGTTTTCAGAATGGTAACAGTGTCAGGGGCTGGGAGCGGGGGGTGGGGGAAGGTGTCCCAAAACTGCAACAGGAGAGAAGGGAAGAGAGAGACCAAGGGCAGGGAGGCACAGGGATGGGACACACTGCAGAGAAAGAAGGTGGTGAGGCCCCCAACCTGGCCCCCCTGCCCCCCTGGCCTCTCACACAGGGCAGCCCCTGCTCAGGAAGTCTCTGGTGTGCTGATCTGGGGAGGCCGGGCTTAACTTGTCTGCCAAGCCTCCCCGTCCCCCACCCCCATGTCCTGTCCAGTTCCCTGCCCACCCCAAGCCTTCTCTCCCAAGCCACCCCTTGCCCTCAGCCCAGGCTTCTGGGCCGGTATTACCTCCTCAGACGGAGGCAGCTGCGACCCAAAGTACAGGCAACTGGCCGGGACTCCGAGCGGGTCTGGAACCACTTGGCCTGGGCTGAGCTCCATCCCCTTCCGGCTGCTCCCCGCTTTGGGAGCACGGTCAAGGCCAAGGGCTGGAGGAAAGATGGTGATGGGCAGAGGGCGGTGTGGGTTCTGTGTCTGTCTGTTCGTCCCAGAGCTTCCCCACATCTGTTTTCCTCCTGGCGCTTCTGAGTGTGTCAGATAATTTTGTGAGAGCCAGACAGGCGAGTGCCGGGGTGTGAACGCTAGCCTGAGCCCAGCTCCTGTCTGGAGACGCTGCCAGCAGGAAAGGAGGAGGCGGGGGCTGGCAGCTTAAGGGGGCACCTCCAGCCTTCTGAGACAGGGCCCTGCAGCCTGGGAGGCAGGGCTGGACTCGGCAACCGCCAGCTGACTGCTCCAGGTCTGACTGCCCTGGAGCGCACCCTAGTTTATCCGGGGACCTTGGGACCAACTTCTGCTTTGCACTGTGTTCACTTTGGGGCTTGCTTCTCACGCATCCCAGGGTCTCCTGTGAGGTGGCTGCTTGCTTTCTAGGATGAGGATTCCTAAATCTTACACCTTTCTGCCTCTGAGGGGAATTCCAGCGGGATGAATGGCAGGATGAGGTTTTGAAGCCATGATGTCCGTCCAGGCCTAAGCAGGGTGTCCTGGGATGTTTCCCAGGTAGGGGGTGGAGTGGGGCTCCCAGCCCAAGCCCAGTCAGCCTGGGAAGGCCCCCCTCCTTCCCCGGGACCACATCTAGGTCCCTCTGCAAAGCTGCTGACATGTTATTTGCATTATTATTTTACAGAGTAAACCCATTCCTCTTCCTCTGCAGGGCTTATACCTATCTCGTCATCCCACCCACTCTTCAGAGTTAGGCCCTACATTGCGGCGGGGGGAGGGTGTTGGTGGGACCCTGTATCTCACTCACCCCTCTGGCCTAGGGGCCACTCTGGTTCTGCCAAGGTTGCTTGCCCACCCCCGCTGCTCTGACAGCTGTTGCCTGACGCATGGGCTCTGCCCTTCCTCTCTGTGCCGCCTACTTGAGGGGGGATGCCTGCATGCACTGGGGGTGGGCAGCCGGCCCAGCCATCGTGGGGAGAGCCCCTCTGCCACGCGCTTTGTGCCTCCAAAGCTCCCCTTCCTCGCTCTGGGCCTCAGACCTGCCATCCTTTGTGGAGCACCCCTCCACCCCAGTCGAACCAAACCCAAACTCTGGGGGCCGGGCTGGGCTGCCCCACGGGACCTGGGGGTCGTGACGTGGAGCGGCAGTGGACAAACCCAAAGCCAAGCCAGGACTGGCTGCGGACCCCGCCTCCCGTGCCGCGTCCTCACGGAGCTGCGTGGTGTCTCCTTAGAAATAGTGAACAGCTTTGCCGAGAAAATAAATGTATGACTATTATATTTGACAACATAAAATCTATATATTTTTCACCACTGGAATCTAGTCGAGCTGCGTAGCCGCACTGCTCCGGTCTGCGTCTTGCTGTCTGTGGCCTTCCTACTGTGTCTTGTGTTTTGATGGACGTGGTCAGGGCCGGGGCTGTGGTCCGCTCTGTCCCTGATGCTGGAGGAGCCGCTCGTGAAGAGCGTGGACCAAGGACTCTGGACAAGGTGAGCGGAGCTGGCACCGCCCTCTGCTCCTGCTGTGGCTCAAGACCTGCCTGTCTGGTCAGAGGGCCTCCAGCCCACAGTGTTGGGGGTGCCTCTCTTTTGGGGGGTCTGGTGGGACCTTGACGGGCTTTGCCTCTTGTCGGTGGAGGAGGCAGCTCTCTGGCCCAGGCCTGGGACAGACGCTGGGACGGCGTCGGCCAGGCCCCGGCTTGTGCGTGTGTGCGTGTGTGTGCTCAGTACCCTGCATCTATGCAAAAGGGGCAGCGCTGCCTGGGCAGCTCCCAGGGGCGGAGGCGGAGGCGCAGCGGCCCACGGGCTCAGGCTCCAAGCCCTGACTGCAGGACACAGGATGTGGGACCAGGAAGCGAGGCCAGGGCCCGGGGGCCTCCCGCTAAGTGCTCATCCTCCAAGGCTCCCCTTTTCCTTCCTGCTTAATACCACCTCCTGCTGGGCTGTGACCTTTCCCTCCCGCCCTCCGCTTCTGCCGCAGAGATCTTTGGGGTCTCCCCTGTCCCCAGCCTCTGGCCAGAGCTGATTAGATCCTAAGGGACCATGTTCTCAGGAACCACCTTCTGGAACTGCTGGTCCCTTGGGGTCCCACCTCCAGAAGTGGCTTCTCCTAAGCTATAGGGTCCAGGCCAGAGCTGCTTTGCTGCTCCTCTCGTCCAGGCTCAAAGCAGAAATCAGTCTGCGGCCGGGACTCTGCTCAGAGAGCTGGCCTCAAATGGAGTTTATCCCAAATATCTCCCAAGGGGATAACTTAGCTTTTCACTGAACACCCTTCCCAGTCGCCACTAGCACAGGGGTATCTGGCAGCACCTTGGGGGGTGGGCTGGGGGCAGATGACAAGGTTCTGGGGTAAAGGCCTACAGAGGGGCCTCTGCCCAGGGAAATCATTACCCCCCTGACCTAGGAATCAGTGCACACAAGTCACAGTGCACTGCTGCATTCAGCCATGCCCTTGACAGAGAGTTCAGGGGATACAGGAGGGGGAGGTGGGGAGGGGTCTTCACTTTTGTCTTCTTTGTCCTTTTGATCAGACAGAGTTGTACCTACAGCAGACAGCTCTGAATTAAAGCATGAAAACACAACAAGATCCTTGGCCTGTTTTCTTTATATTGTGTCTTTTGGGGGTGGGGGCGAGGGGGATAAAGGGGGCTCATACTGTCCCCACCTGCGTGGGAGTCATAACACGCATCCTGGGAAAAGCTGAGCAGACAGATCTTTCCTGAGGTTGAGGGAACCAGAGAGCTGCGTGCTTCTGACTCCCCTCCAGGGGGCCACTTGGCGCACCCCACGCCCCCGGTCAGACCCGTGGGGCCCTGTAAGTGCACGTGTTCCATCCTCTCCAGCACCCTTGAAGTGGTCCTCACGCCCGTTCTGCAGATGCGGAAGCCAGCTGCAGTCGCTGAGCAGGGGGTGCGCAAAAGCCAGGGCCCGCTTCCAGGGCCCCACACTGTCCCCCTCTAGTCATCCATGCCCCGGACCGGCGGCATGTGACGGTGGCACAGCCCAGTCACTGCTCTCAGAGGCAATATGTAGCAAAGGCCTTGGTCTCACCACTGCTTAAAAGAAAACCAGCTCTGGCATGTCATGAGACAGAAGATTCTGGAATTTCAGTTACTTTTGAGGAAGGGATTTTATGTAAAATCAAATCTTTATTCAAAGACAGTGACGGATTATAACTAAATACAGTTTGTGACAGAGAACAACTAAAGGAAAAAGAAACAATTCTCCCAAAAAAATGTATTTGTTCTCTCAAACCGTGGAAATGTGTTACTGGTAGAGGCAAAAGTTTGAAAGGGACCCAGCTGCAACTTTAGGAAGTGTTTAGTCGGCCTGCCTACGTGCCCAGCATTTAAATCGGCTCAGAGAATCACTGCCTGTGGGCCCTGCCCCTGCCTTAGCCCAGTTAAGAGGCTGAAGCTGCAAGGAGGCCAGTGTGTATAAAGGACAGGCCCATGTGATCCAATGTTGCCCCACCCAGAACACGCCCACCTCGAGACAGCCCCGCCCCCGGGCAGAGGCCTCCACAGTCTGTCCCCTGAGGACTCTCCCTTTCCTGCTGGAGGGTGAGAGGGCTGAGCTGCTCTCCCGTGGCTTCAGATGTCAGGGATGGAGTGGTCCATGGTGTGGTGGAGCAGGGCTGGGGACAATCTAGATACAGCAACAAGGACAGTCGCCAACACTGGCAGCACCTTCCCCCATCCCCGCAAAGCCTGTGCATGCCTTGTGGACCCTCACTACCAAGTCTAAGACCTTCAAATCACCAGAAGCCACTGGCTAGCGTGAAGGGAGGCAAGGGCAGGAGAGCAGAGGGCGGGCTGGTCTGGGCTCTGCAGGAGCCTTGAGGAAGCCTGGGTGGACAGGAGGTGGGGAGCTGAGGGGGGAGGGGCAGGAGGGGACCAGCCTTACTTTCTGACCATGTGCGCATAGATCACAGTGGGCATGATGGCCAGGTTGATGACGTTCCCGGCTGTGGCCAGAATCTCCGTGACTTCTTTGTCCTGGAGAAGGGGTGAGTGAGCGGTCACCCCGGGGGCCAGGGGAAACTCTGAAGGCACCTCTGTGGAGAGGTCAGCACGGCCCCCGCGGAAGGATGCCACTGACATTCTGACATCAGGGACAGGGCTGCCCCTCAGGTGAACAAGAATGTGGGCCTCCCACCTGAGGCCCTGTCAGTAGAATGAGCGTGCCCCTCCCACCCTCAGCTCGAGGGCCTGTGTGGGCCTGACACCTAACAGGGCCTCACAAACGTGACTTTCCCCAAAGAGCCCTGGGAATCTCACCAAGCACACATGTATGCCGTTGCCCAGGACCCCGTCACACTCGGGTTCTGGACCCAAAGCACAAAGAGAATAACCGTGCACTGGGGGCACAGCAGGGGCTCCCCCACCCTCTCCCCTGGGCTCCTGTCAGCCGGAGCCGAGCCCGTGTGGTACTTCTTCCTCTTACATCTTGTCGACTAGTGAAAAGAGAGGCCCGCAGAAGCCATTCAGATCATGGGGAGAACAAGAAACAAAAGGCATCTACACAAAGTGTGCCAAACAGTCCAAAGACAAACGCTATGGCCATTGGAAGAGCCTCTGGCCCTTACTCAGACACCATGACCTTTACTTTACACAGGTGTCTAACCCAGGTATGTGTTTTCTTAGCTGTTCCAGGATAAATGGGAGAAGATGTGCTAGGTGGGACTAGTGATGGCCACAGAGTAGAAATAGACAGACCTTTGAGAAGATAAATGATCTCAAGACGCATAGCTATCTGGGGCCATTCAGCAAAGGGACAGGCCCAGTCCTTAGAGCCTCACGCCATTGTTTGGTAGGATAACTGATAAGTTCATAGTGAAGCCTTGAACCATCAGTGAGGACGAGAGAATCTGCAGCACATCTTAGAAGGATTGCTCTCCAGAAGAGTTAAGAACAAAGAACTGCCATGCTTTGAAAGGAGTGGGTTCACTCACACCCAGCAGAGCCAGCCCCTCAGAGCTGGTATTACTGTACCCAGCTTTTTAGCTACAACGGATTCCCTTTGGACTGTCATGCCTAATCCCCAAGGAAGGGGAGAGATGCAGCGGGAGGGATGTCAGACAGACATTAGGAAGGACTTGCTGAGCACTGTGCTCATGAGCCAGCAGGACAAGCCTCCAGGGAAGGTGGGGAGACTGTCAGGCACAGGGAGGAAGATGGGCGACAGGAATGGTGATGGTGATGGCCCTTGTGAAGGGGAGGAGAACTGGCTTAAAAGACTCTGCCACCTGTGGAGTGAGATGCCACCGCCCACGCCACCTCTACCCGGGGAGCCCTACCTGTGAGCCCCAAAGCCCTGGCTGCAGCAGGGCAGGGACCCTCCCTCTAAATCACAGCTGGGATCAAGAAGCACTCTCGGTCCTGGTGGTATCGAGTCGGGATAGACCACTCTCACTTATCCATGGACCAGAAGCGGCGTGACTCATCCTCCTCCAGGGTCCATTCCCCAAAGGCACCCACCCCCGAGTCCAGGGCACAGCACTGGGCCTAGACCACTTGCTCCTTCTGTATTTAAAGATAAAACTCGCCATGCAAACCCCCTTGGGAGGGCAAAAAAAAGAGGTCAGAAATGGACTTCTGAAGAGCAATTTTCTAAAATATTCCTATTACTGAACAAGATCCAGGATACAAACAGAAGTGCCGCACAGAGTAGGGAGGTGTCCATGCAGCCAGGAGCCACCTGGGCACCTACGTCCTTACACAGGTCATCAACCACCCCACCCCCACCCCCCGGCTCCCTGTCACAGCTCTGGCCTCCACGTGTAAGTAACAATAGCTTATATTTACTGAGCGATTACTTTGTGCATGCACTGTGCTCGAAGCTCTGTGTACCTTGTCACATTGAATCCCTGTAGCAGCCTTAGGATGAGGAACTGAGGCTGGGGTGGGGGCAGCAGCCCACCCGCAGACACGAACCTGCCCACCACCTGGTGTGTCCCAGCCCCTGGCATCCCGGGACAGAGCCGCTGCTCTGCCTAGCTTACCTTCAGCCCAATGACGTTCTGCCCGTTCACCTCGCACACGTAGTGGTTGATGAGGAGCCCGTTGCGGGCCGCAGAACTCCCTTTGACCAAAGAGATGATCTTCCCCTTCTTGATGACGAAGCCGATGTGGCCTGTGCTGTCCTTGTGCATGGTGACGGTCCGCTGGAATGGCCTGGCAGGGACGGACAGTGAGCTGGGCCTGGGGCGTGGCTGGGGGTGGACAGAGAGGCTCCTGGGACCCAGCTACTCACCTGTCCCGGACAACCATGACAATCTTCTCAGCCGACGCCTTCTTCACCACCCGGTGGGCTTTGTCTGTGCTCCACCCAACACAGTTGCGCCCATCAATCTGCAGGATCTGGTCCCCAAAGTGCAGCCCCACCAGGGACGCAGGGGTGTTGGCCTGGACCAGCTGCACAAAGAGCCCCTGGGGGAGGCGGTCCCCACAGTCAGCTCTCCCGGCCCACCATGAGCCCAGCTCCCTCCTCCAAGCTGCTGTTTGCCTCCCGATCCTCCCAGAGCCTGTAGGGCACTGGGACTGCAGCTCTGCGCAGCAGACAAGGGCAACCCCATTTTCCTGGCGAGGAAACACTCCAGGCCACACAGCTAGGAAGCAACAGAGTCAGGAATTCAACCCCAACTGGAGGCTGCACCCCCAACCACTGGACTACAAGGCCTCTCACACTGGCATCCAGGGCCCCCAGTTTCCACTGTCTGCAGACAGCCGCCCAGAAGCCAGATCCCTTTGACTGGGGGGCAAGGAGGCAAGGAGCCCACGGAGGGGCAGGTAGAGGATCCCTGGCGCAACCCGGAGCCAGCCCTCGGGCCTTGTAGGAGGGGCTTGAGAGAAAGAGCCTGGCCTAGGGGTCAGGTGGGCCTCGGCTCCCAGCCCGCGCAGCCCCTTCCTTACTGTGGATGGGGCTCCCCGCTCTGCCTCCTCTCCCGCTGGTGGACGAGGCGGCCAGAACCCCGGAGGCGCGCGGAGGGCGGGCAACTCGGGCGGCGGGCAGGCGCTGTCCAGCACGCGGGCTCGCCCTCCGCCCTCCGCGGGGCCCTTCCTCTCCCCCCCGACCCCCAGTCCCACCTTGTCGATGGCCCGCAGCCGCAGCCCCGTCTTGCCCCGCTCGTCCTTGCACAGGTGGATCTCGCGCACCCCGGGCTTGACCTCCCCAGGCAGCACGCCCAAGCTGTTCCCGGACACCGGCGCCACCACCTGGTCCGGTGAGGGGCCCGAGACCGCTGCCTGCAGACATCAGGAGAGCAGGCGGTCAGCCAGCGCCTGGGGCCTCGTGCCACAAGAATCCCCGGGGTGGGAGCAGGGATGGGGTAAGGAGAATGGAGTGGACCTTGGGTCGTAGTCCACCCCAGCTCGCACACTTTCCCGCGTGCGGGCGAGAGGGAACATGGCTCAATGACGCCACTAGGGGGCGTCAAAGTCCGCACCCCTGAAAAACAGCCGGGAAAGTAGGGAGAGAAGAGAGGACAGGTAAATAGGAAAGGGGTCCTCGTTTTCCAAGGCAAACTGGGGTCAGGAGAAGAGCCCTTTAAAATCCACTTAAAAATAAAAGTTCCACAGAAAATAGTGAACGATGGGGGGAAATGGGCTCAAGTTGATCTCTGCCTTGAAAAAAATTAAGGTAAAAGTACCAAAATGAGTGAGTGCTTTCCCCCCTAAGTTCTGGAACAAGGTCAGGATGTCCACTCTCACCACTACTATTAAATACAGTAATGGAAAAACTAGCCAGAGCAATAAGGCAAGAAAAGGAAAAAAAGGCATATAGATTGGAAAAGAAGACATAAAATGGTCACTATTTGCAGATGAGATGATACTTCACTAGAAAATTCCAAGGAATCTACAAGTAAACTCCTAGAACTCATAAGTGAGTTCAACAAGGTCACAGGATACAAGACCAACATATACAAAAAAATCAATTGTACTTCTAAATACTAACAATGAACATGTGGAAGCTAAAATTAAAAATACAATACCACTTACAATCACTCAAAAAAAAAAAGAAATACTTAGGTGTAAATCTAATAAAACATATGCAGGAATTGTATGCTGGAAATGAAAAAAACACTGATAAAAGATATCAAAGAAGATCTAAATAAATAGATATTCTGTATTCATGAATTGGGAAAACATAGTAAAGCTGTCAACTGTCGCCAGATTGATGTACAGATTTAATGCAATTCTTATCACAATCTCTACAAGATGTTTTGTAGATACATGCAAGGTTAGTCTAAACTTTATATGAAAAGACAAAGGAACTAGAATAGCTAAAACTACTTTGATAAAAAGAATAAAACAGGATTAATCACTCTACCAAATTTCCAGATTTATTATATCGCTACAGTAATTAAGACAGTGTTGTATTGGGGAGCGACAGACACATGGATCATGGAGCAGAAGAGAGAATCCAGAAATAGCCTCATACAAGGAGGGGCAACTGCTTCTTAACAGAGGTGCAAGAGTAATTCACTGGAGAAAGAAGAGTCTTTTCAACAAATGGTGAGGGAGCAACTGAACATCCGTGGGCAAAATGTGAGCACGGACTCCACAGGTTATACAAAAATTAACTCAAATTCAACCATAAATTTAAACATAAAACTATAGCAGTTTTAGAAGTAAAAGGGAAAATCTTTAGGACCTAGGGCTCAGTGAAATTTCATAGGACACTAAAGCATAATCCACAAAAGAAAAAAATCAATAAATTGGACCTCATCATAATTAAAGACTTTTTGCTCTGCAAGAAACCCTTTTAATACGATGAAAGGAGAAGATACACAGTGGGAGAAAATATTTACAAATCAAATATCTGACAAAGGACTCTAGAATAAAGTCTCAAAAGTTGACTTAAAAATACAGTCCATTTAGAAAATGAGCAAAAAATATGAAGAAACATTTTACCGAAAAGAATATACAGCTGGTAACTGAGCACATGAAAAGATGTTCAGCATCACTAGCGTTAGGGAAATGCAAATTAAGACAATGATAAGTCGATGCTACACACCTACCATAATGATTAAAATTTAAAACAGTGATAATACCAAATGCTGGCAAGGATGTGAAGAAACTGAAAACACTCATGCATTGCTGGCAGGAAAATAAAATAGCACAGCCATTCTGGAAATAGCTTGGCACTTCCTTTTTTAAAGAATTAACCATACAGTTATAACACTACCTAGGAATTGCACTCCTGGGCATTTATCCCAGAGAAACAAAAACTTATATCCGTACAAAAATCTGTACACATCCATAATAGCTTAGTTTATAATAGACAAAAACTGGAAACAACTAAAATGTCCCTCAAGAGGTTAAACAAACTGGGGGTAGAGACACACCATGGAACACAACCCAGCGATAAAAAGGAATGAACTGTTGATACAGGCAACAGCCTCGAAGGATCTCCAGGGCATGATGCTGAGTGGAAAGAGTCCATCTGAAAAAGTCACACACTGCGTGATTCCACTTACATAACCTTCTGAAATGGCAAAATTATAGGGACAAAAACACGCTAGTGGTTGCCAAGGGGCTGCGGATGGTGAGAGGGAGGCTGGGAACGATTATGAAGGGGCAACACTAGAGATACCTTTGTGGTGATAACATAGTTCTCTATCTTGATTGCGCTGGTGGTTACAGGTGATAAAATGACATTGAACAACAGACACACATTGTACCAATGTAAAATGCCTGGTTTTGACGTTATAGTGTAGTTACATAAAACGGAACCACTGGGAAAACTGAGTGAAGAGCACAAAGGACTTCTCTATCTTCTCAACTTCCTATGAATTTATGATTACTTAAAAATAAAAAGTTAAAATGAAATAAAATAACTAAAAATTTTTAATTATAAAAATGCATTATCTGTCTTTTTTTTTTTTACGGTACGTGGGCCTCTCACTGTTGTGGCCTCTCCCATCACGGAGCACAGGCTCCGGACACGCAGGCTCAGTGGCCATGGCTCACGGGCCTAGCCGCTCCACGGCATGTGGGATCTTCCCGGACCGGGGCACGAACCCGTGTCCCCTGCATCGGCAGGTGGACTCTCAACCACTGCGCCACCAGGGAAGCCCTATCTGTCATTTTTTATCAAAATTTAGGTTGTCCTAATTATTGGGCCAAAGAGGGATTAAATCGATGGATTAAAATTGGAGTATCTGCAACATGACCTACTTTGCTTCATGTGTGTACTTCCCTACATGACTGTCAAGAGGGTCATTTTGGAGAAACACCCCAGGGTGTCACCAGTTTTTCTCAGGGTCCCACATGTCCTCATCCTTTCTGATTTTTCCTATGAAATCCTCATTTGTCAGTGTAGCAGTTCTCATCCTCATTTCCATCAATTTCATGAAATCCTGCGTCCTTAGTAAGATTTGCATTTGCACTGTGCAATCGATTTGCACTGGACCAGGGAGGGGCTGGCAGACAAGGACAGCTGACAGATGGTCCGCAGGGAGGCTGGAGCTGATTGGGAGAGGGTTTGGGACTGATTCTATAGGTGAATACATTTTCAGGAGTGAGTATTTCAGTGTTATGATTTCCTTTGCTCCCTGAAGCCATGCAGAGCAGGAATCAAGCATTATTGTTTAATTTGGGGAGTGGGGCTGGATGACAAGCCCCTTCCCACCGGGCTCTGCCTAACCATGCAGCTGCTGTCAAGTCACAGGCAGCCCTTCAGTAGAAGCACCCAGGCTCAGGCCAGGTTTAATGTCCTCCCTTCTCCTCCAGCAGGCTCAGGCCAGCAGGTCAGAGGTCAAAGGGCAGGCAGTGGCCCTTCAGCCCCAAGGCCCGCAGGAAACCACGAAACCCCACAGCACTTTTAATGAAGGCTGAAAATACTAAGTGCCATCAAAAAACAGAGGCGCAGGGGCTTTCCTGGTGGCGCAGTGGTTGAGAGTCCGCCTGCCGATGCAGGGGACGTGGGTTCATGCCCCGGCCTCGGAAGATCCCACATGCCACGGAGCGGCTGGGCCCGTGAGCCATGGCCGCTGAGCCTGCGCGTCCGGAGCCTGTGCTCTGCAACGGGAGAGGCCACAACAGTGAGAGGCCCGCGTACCGCAAAAAAAAAACAAACAGAGGCGCAGCAACGCTGGGGAAAGAGGAGATTCAAGTCTGTTTAAATGGTAAGACCAAGAAGGAGGGCCCACATCAGGCAAGAGACAAATACCTACCCTGGCACCTTCTGGAATCTGAGGCAGGTTCTGCTGGACTTCGTGGCTGGAGAACGAAAGACCAATATAACCTTCCAATTCCGCCAGGTTTGGGTACAAAACTGATGGGAAGGGAAGGAAGGAAGAAGAAAGGTGTTACTCCGGGCCTGAGATTAGCCACACCTGCCTGGCTCCCAGGTGGTCACTCATTTTTATTAAGAAACAGGGCCTGGGGATGCTGTTTACTCCCAAGAATGCAGTATACCCCTGAGTTGGCTCTGCACTCCCAGGAACGCTCGCTGGCACTGTGGGTCCTCCCCTCAGACGGTCTGCTTTCTCCAGGAGCAGCCTGGGATGCTGAGTACCTCATGTATCACTTTGGTGTTCAATTTAACTGATTTTATTTGGCACCGGCCAGACCCGAGGGCAGCGCTGGGGAACTGCATGGTGAGGAGGAGAAGAGCTGGGCCTGAGTTCAAGTTTGCTACCATGGGGCCTGAATCAAGACGGCCACGAGCAGCTCCAGGGCTACCACACACGTCCTGGTCTCCACATGCAGCCTTCCTTGGTGGCCCCAAGTCAGGGCAGTCAGTGCCCTCACAAAGCTGCAGGTTTCTCAGTGTCCCCCTCAAAGGGGGGGTTCTAGGGAGGGTCAACCTGCATAGTGCCCACGGCTCAGCGGCAGGAAGGACGCAGGCTCTCGGAAATGTCCAGCAGAGGTCACTCTCAGCCAGGAGAACCCCAGCCCACTCACTCACCTGAAGGCTGGGAGTCTGTTCCCTGCCCCGGCAGGGCGGGCATCCTGGGTACGGCTCTGGCCTCGGCCTGGGGATGGATGGGGAGGGCCAGTCAGCTGTGGCCATGAGCCCCAGAGCCCTTGAGGCCTGGGGCTCCCTGAGGCTGGGGGTCAGGGCATTACGTATGCTGGCAGCCTGAGGGGGGGTGTCCATGACCCTTGGAGTAAATATGGCATCTGCAGATGTCCACGCTTCTGGAAGGAGGTTCTCCCAGGGGCCCGCGACCCACCAAATGTCACTCGTTTACTACCTGAGGCAGCCAAGGCAGATTTTCAGTCGAAAAGCCCCCAGTTCTCAAAACCCACTAGGACCTCATGTGGGATGGAAGGAGAAAAGGGCTTCTGGGGGCCGAGTAGGCCAAACGCCACGACCACGGGGTTTACTCTGGAAGCTTGTCCTAGAGCATGGGTTCTACACGAACCTGGATGCAGGAAGCACTGGGATAGAGCAGGCACCAGACGGCCGGTCTGCAGCTGCTTGGTCTTCTCCACCTGCTGTAATTCCATTGCCTTGGCCTCTGGACACCTGCTCTGCCCAGCAGGCCCTGCAGTGGGGACCTGCATGCCCTGGGGCCAGTCAGGAACTCCCAGGGGTCCCCAGCACTTGACCCAAGACAAGCCTCCCTTAGCTACCCTGGCGCAATCCAGAAGGCCCCGTCAGGGGACCCCAGGCTGGTAGCCTGGCACTTTACCTGCATGGCTTGGTCCACCTTCAGGTCCTCCAGAGATGGGTACAGGGTGGACATGGCTGCTCTTTGGAACACGCTGCAGGGCACAGAGGGTGAGGAGGGCTGAGGGCTGAGAGGAGGCACGGACGTGTGCCACTCAGCGCTCTCAGCACGAGAAAGATGTCACAAAGGTATTATTATCCCCATTTTAGAGATGGGGGAGCTGGGATTTGACCCAAAGACTGTTTGGTTCCCAAGCCTGTGCTCTCAACCCCGCAAAAATCCCATCCCACCATGTTCAGCTGACTCTGGGCTTTAGAACCTGAGACCCGGGGTCACCTAGCACATGCTGACCAGGCAAAGCAGGATTGGGGGCCACGTCCTTCCCTGTCCTGTTTCAAAGGTCAGACAGGCTTATGAGGTCTGATCACTCAAGACCTAGATCCAGTCCAGCTGGTGGGTAGTGAGTACCTGCTATATACCCGGCCACCGTCAGGGGTTTGCACAGCATCATCCCACAACTACGCAGGGTTCAGTCCAGTGTCAAGTGGGCGGGGATTAATATTACAACAGAAAGGCAGCAGGCGCTTTAGAAGTCCTCCCCAGCCCCCACAGGCCTCTCCATCTCTGGGCATTTGAGCTCCTGCTGCATACCAGCCACTTCCGGTCTCACTGGTGACTCTTGATCTTGACCACAATGAGGTAAGACCAAAGGCAACTCTTAAAAGCATGCACACAGACTGTAGCAGAATTTATACACTCAGTAGAGCATTGCTCCAGAGGGAGAAGGAAATGGGGGGAAGCACGATAAACATTTACTGAACGCCTTCTACCTGTCCAGAGGAGAACCAGGGACCTCGGAGCAAGGTACCAAAAGAAATTCAAAGAAATTACCTCACAGAAATGCTTTATTTCCTTCCTAGTTAAAATGTGAGGAAGGAGCAGTTTGTCTTTCTGGATTCTTTTCCGTTTACCCACTAACACATTGTCTCTGTCACGTCTCCGGGCCTTTGTTGGGCCAGTCGTCACTAGCTGGATGTCTCTGCCCCCCCCCCCCCCCCTGGCTTCTCAGACAATGAGGTCACTGCTGCTCCCAACGGCCCTGCCCTCAGAAGAGACTCTGGGCCAGCCTCCGGCCCTGGACTCTTCAATCGTCCTCAGTCTGTCTTCCCACCTGAACTGCAGTTCCTTGGGGTCAAAGGTGTCCTATTCACCCCACTGGGCCCACATTCTCTGGACCAGGTCCAGATCCTCTGGGCATCTCCCCTGAGTGACCCACAGGGGCTAAGGTCATCTTCATCCATCCCTGTTCCTCATCCTTCCTCTGTACCTGCTGCCTTGACCCTTGTATCAACCTTAACACTCCCCAACGACCTCCCCCATCCCTCCTAATCTGCCGTCAAATCCCATCTCTCCCACATCCCATCCCTAATCCCCATGCTGTCTGCAGACCTCCACCATCTCCCCGCCCTTCTGCAGGTACCACAACATCTCCAATGAGTCCTAGCTCCTCTATTGTTGTTCTCCAGCCCCTTTCTGCATGAGCCTGGAATGTCACGCGCTGCTGAAAACCCCCAGTGGCTCCACACTCTCAGAATCAAGCCCACATTCCCTTTACGATTCCTCCAAAGATTGGAACTGGTGGCTCAAAGGCCAGATGCAAACATTGTAAAGCAATTATACTCCAATAAAGATGTTTTTAAAAAAAATCTGTTGCCAAGTGCTTTATACATTCAAACTAGCCCCCTAAATGCATAACTCAAGACGCTGCTTTTTTTTTAAAATTAATTAATTTTATTTTTGGCTGTGTTGGGTCTTCATTGCTGCACGCGGGCTTTCTCTAGTTGCAGCGAGTGGGGCCTACTTTTCATTGTGGTGCGCAGGCTTCTCATTGCGGTGGCTTCTCTTGTTGCAGAGCACGGGCTCTAGGCACGCAGGCTCCGTAGTTGTGGCTCAGGGGCTCTAGAGCGCAGGCTCAGTAGTTGTGGTACACGGGCTTAGTTGCTCCGAGGCCTGTGGGATCTTCCTGGACCAGGGCTTGAACCCATGTCCCCTGCATTGGCAGGCAGATTCCCAACCACTGCTCGACCAGGGAAGTCCAAGACGCTGCTTTTAATAATCTAACTTCACATTGCTCCTGAAAAACACAACATTCTGGCAACCCTGGACCGCTGCTGAGTGGCTACAGCTGAGTCGCAGCTGACTCCCGGGCGTCCCAGACCCCAGCAGCCTCTGCTGTCTCTTACATCAAGACCGCTTTACTCACTGGCACTGAGACCCTATAGACGTTTGCTTGCACCCCCCTGCCTAATTCTCCTGCTTTCTTTTTTGTTTTTTTTTTAAAGAAGATGTTGGGGGTCGGAGTTTAATTTATTTATTTCTGCCTGGGCTTCCACTTTTCTCCTTGTAAAGTAAAGCTCTGATGTCCTATGGACATGCACCTTCCTAGGATGGAAACAAGGATGAGAGGTCCCAACAGGTTTTGTTCGCCTCTCGCAGGCTTGTTTTTTTGTTTTCATTTGAATTAGTGCCAACATTTTAAAATCTGGAGATATAAAATTCTTCACTTCTAACTTGTACAGAAAAGAAAAATCACACTATTTGGCAATGCAAGAGCAGGAATCATACACGGCAACAGTCAGCCAGGCCCAAGTCGCAGCCTGCCATAACATGGGGCTGCACGCACCTCCTTGCTTCCCGAAGTGCCCATCCAGCTGACTTACGCTGCCTGCTTGGCTCCTGCAGGCAGGCAGCTGCAGATCTTTGCCTTAGCCTTTGGGGCAGGAATGATCATCTCAAGAGGACAGGGATTGTCCTAGGGGGTGAGAGAGACTGGCCCTGACCTCCTTTAAATCAGCTGGGGGAAGAGACCCCTTCGTCTGTGGTCTTCTCTACTGTGCACACACTCTGGGAAACTTTTATCTCGGGACAGTCCTCAGGAGGTACCATCTGCCAAAAACATGCCCTGCTACCAGGATCACACATGAACGACAGGTGTGAAAATGAGGCACCCCTGCCCTGCTTTTTCAAACACTAAAGCAGCAGAGCCGGTTATATTTTTAGCAGCTGCCCTCTGGGAGAGCAGAATCAGAGATCTACTTCTTGGAAATCACTCCCAGGCTAAGACCACACAACCCTTCCTCTGTGTCTGGGACCCTTTCACCATTGCCACCTACTCTGGGTCTCAACTAAGGTTTGGGCTCTGGGTGGAATCAAGAGGCAGGTTTAGCGGTTCATGATATAGTGGGGAATGGCTCCCTGCCAGCAAATATGCATGTCTCATTCAGTCATCCATCTACTCATTCACAACACTGGAGTGTCCACTGCGTGCTAGCAACACTGGATCTGTTTCAGTCATGCTGATCCCTCTGCTTGGCACACCACCCTTCTCTGCACGGTGCTCTTTCAAGGCTCAGCTCAAATGTTTCTCCTCTGGTTGGCTTTTTCAGACCATGGGACCCCCTGCTAGTTGGCCGGGTCTTCATGTGTTCCCAAACTGACTTGTACCGCCCCTACTGTCAAGTTATTTATCATATTGTATGATTACTATCTGGGTATTTCCTCATACCGGGCCCCAACTCGGAAGGGTGGGGACTGTGTCCTGTTCACCACCCTATGCCTCCCCACCAAAACAGCACCCAGCACATGGATGCCGGCAAAAATTGCTACTCGACTGAATAAATCAGTGGTTTTCCAAGGAACAGATTGGAAATTTGTGGGGGCATTTTTGGGTGTCACATGACTGAGGGGACACTACCAGCATTTAGGAAGCAGGGAGTAGAGACCCAGACCTCCTGTAATGCACAGAACAGCTCACCCCAACAAAGCTGTCCTGCACAACTTTCCAATACCCTGCCAAACCTTCATGGAGGCAAAAAACCTGTTTATAACCTGTTTTATATACAAATACAATGCAACTTTGCCTGGTTTTAATATACAATATATTATCCAGAAATGTATACACCAGCTTAACCGAGGAAGTTATTGTTTTGTTCACCATTGTGGAAAATCACTGTCAATCCGTTTGAGCACAGGTGAGTCACCAGAACGCACCCATGTGTGTCTGCGTTTGTAGCTGTCACAGTGATGGCACGCCTGTATACAAATACATTTAACCTTCGACTCAAGATGCCACATACAGAGACTTCCCTGGTGGTCCAGTGGTAAAGAATCCGCCTTCCAACCCAGGGAAAGAAGGTTCCATCCCTGGTCGGGGAACTAATACCCCACACAGCCAAACAAACAAAAGATGATGAATGTAAACTTTGGCAAAATTTAGTTGAATACTATCTGTTAAATCCAAACTTTCTCACTTTAAGTTAGGTACAGACGTGACCAGGTGTCACCCAGTCTGAGCTTTTACAGAGTGAAGGGCATATTCGTTAATTATAAATTACTTTCATTGCTCTCATTTCTCCTTTATAGTACAGAGAGGGCATCACGTTTATTTTTTTTTAACCCGGGGTGGGGGGACACTGAACCACCACTCAAGACGAACCCGCCCCCTCCCTCAGCCTCAATTTCCCGCTTTTTGAATGCAGCCAGGCACAAAACTCCGAGCACTCGGGCACTGGAGAAAGCCCCAACGGTTCCTAGGGCCTGTTCTTCACCGCAGGCCTCAGTTTCCCAATCTGGCCAACGATCTTGGATCAAAGCTCTTCAAACGACTCCCCACCCTGACGCTCCGGTAGCTCCAAACTCCGCCTGAGGCGACCTCCCCTGGTTGCTATGGGTTACAGCGCCTGCGCAGAAACCCCGCCGAGCCACTAGAACGCGCTGGGATCGCTAGGGCGCATACGTATCACCCAAACAGGGCTGAGCGTGGATACGGGCGCTTCCCAGGGTATCCTGCGATTGCGGGGTGGCAAATGGCGGTCTCCTTGCCCCGCGGGTTGCTGGCCGGCTAAACTCACCCGGCTTCTTGCTTTTTCCAGGCGCTCGTGGCTGGCGCCCACACGCGTGCGCGCGCGCGCACACACACACACACACACACACAAACAGGTAAAGCAGCAGAGTAAGAGGTGGGAAGTCTCGGTCAGGGTCTGCGTCCGCTCTTTACGCGCCTGGAGTCTACGCGGATCAAATCGCGCTTTAAAGGGGCGAGTGTCCCTTCGCCTCCCCACGCCCCCGACCCCTGGTCCATTAACGGCTTCCCGAAGGGGCGAGGATGCGGTTGAGCCGCCCCCTGCTGGCTGATAAGATTCCGTTCTAAGGCAGCTGTGGGAGGGAGGAGGGCAAAGTTGACACGCCTGCGCTCCGGGCTGCCTGTTGCTCAAAATGAAGAGGAAGCTCCCTCGCTCCCTAGGATTTCGGAAGCTCCTCGGATCCCCAAGTATGCCATACCGTTGTGACTTCACCGTCCTTCCCACCATCCCAGGTTTCTTGCCCGGCCCTGACTTCCAGTCCTAGTGCTGAGCTGCACGTGCCCTGCCCCACTCCACGAAGATTTACTCTGGGATCCCACCCAAGAATGACTGAGTGCCTGCCCCCCAGGGTAGAGGTCTTGGGTTCGGCCAGGCAGATCACTTTCCACAGCAACAATGGACCCACTGCACATTTTTAGAGATTGAGGCAGTTGGGTTTGCGGGGTGCAGGATAAAAGTCTAGGGCAACGGGGAAGGCCTGGAGGAAGGTAGGAGACGCCTAGTGGACCGTGAAGGATGGAGGTTCAGCAGGGTGAGAGTGCAGTATGTTACTCCAGGGATAGGGAGGCCCAGGCTCAAGAGTCCAGCTGCCTTCCAGATCTTTACTACCTCCTGCAGTTTATTCAAATTGAATTCATTTTTCCCCAGCTTTGCTGCCCCTCTACAGTGACACCACCAAATGCACCTCACGGTCTGAGCCAGAAATCCTGCTCTCCAGCCATACCCAGCTCTTGCCCTCAGGAGAAAATATGAGACTTCAACTTGATATTCCAGTCTCTATGATGTGACTCCTGGTACCTTCTCCACTGACTCCTGGTGACCTCCTCACTCTTGCACACTCACCCTGCATTTCATTAATTCCAAACTCACC